AACCATCAGCAGGCTACGACGCAAAAAGGGGATTATTACCTAAAATCCGGAACCGACCGGATTTGGGTTCTCGCTTACCGTCTGCTGCGTGAGCTTCTCATCCAGGAGATACACGATTCAAACCTCTCCGGACATTTCGGGGTCGATAAGACACAGAAACTACTGCACGGTCACTATTACTGGCCTGATTCCTCTAACGACGTGCAGCGCTATGTGTCCTCATGCAGGGTGTGCCAAGCAATGAAGTCGACACGTCAGCGACCAGCTGGATTGCTGCAACCCCTCGAGCCACCCGAACGACCGTGGCAACAAGTGACGATGGATTTTGTCACGGGGATGCCAGCTGGGCCGACACGCAACGACGCTGTTCTCGTCGTCGTCGACCGCTTCACGAAAATGGCGCACTTCGCACCATGCCGAACGACAATCACAGCTCAAGAAACTGCGGGACTTTTCATATCGACGGTCGTGCGACTGCACGGCATCCCTTCAGCGATTATCAGCGACCGCGACCCAAAATTCACATCCAAATTCTGGAAGGAGACATGGGCGCAATACGGCACGAAGCTACAGTTCTCATCGGCTTACCACCCGCAGACCGACGGTCAAACAGAGCGGACCAACCAGACCATGGAGTAGTTAATCAGGACAAACTGCCCCGATCCTGCCCGCTGGGAAGACTCGCTCGCAATGCTGGAATTCGCTTTCAACAACGCACCATCCAGCACGACTAATCACTCCCCATTTTTCCTGAATTATGGGATGGACCCGGCGGTTCCGACGACAACTACACTCGACAATCCGGTCCCACGTTCCCAGACTTTCGTGACGGAACTCCATGAAGTCCGCGAAAAAGCCGCCGACGCAATTCGCAAAGCGAATATTACTTCCCGCAAATACACCAAACTTCTTCGCCGGGAACTCGTCTTGACTACTGGGCAACTAGTCCTCCTCGACACGAAAAACCTGAACCTGCCCGGCCCTGCGAAACTTCGGCCACGATTTTGCGGACCGTTCAAAATTCTCAAGATGGTGACACCTGTCACCGCGAAGCTGTTGCTACCCGACGATTGGCATATACATGACACGTTCCACATTACCGTCATACCCCGGATAGAAGCGCCCCTGGGGTTGTAATAAAACACTGTTTTTTAGGGGGTGCGCTTATAATTGAGGAAATTTATAAGCGCCGGCGTTTATATAACGGCAAAATGAAATGAAGTTTGTTTTTAACACCAAATTGTAGATGTCGTTCTTCCAAGTGTAATCGAGTCGAAAATATATTGGGTCGCGAATCTGACTCTCGAGCAACTTGGCAGGGATTGATTCCCTGCCAACACATGCTGACTACGCGACAGCGTGTGCTGACTAGACGCGCAGCAAGTGTGATGTGAGTGGGAAAGTGGAACTGTATTTCGCTTCCCTGGTAAGGGGAATTTCGTTTCTGTATTTCGACTGATTTTCATATAATATTCGACATGCGCTTATAATAAATCACAATTTTTTAGGGGGTGCGCTTATAATTGAGGACCGGATATAAGCGCCCTCATCCCTTTATAAGCGCCGGCGCTTATCTGAGGCCTGCGCTTCTATCCGGGGGCTTACGGTAGCCTTCTTCGGAAGTTCGTGCCTACCACAACCGACATCGCACGTCAGCAAGCGGCCCCGACGGCTCGCCCCGTCCCGGAGCCAACCCTTGACCCTTCCAAGATTCTCGCTCATCGGGTCCGCCTTGACGCCGCTGGACGCCACGTGGATTTTTTAATTCGCTGGACCGACCGCACCAGTGAGGACGACACGTGGGTGCCATCCGCTTCACTGGACGCCTCGACGCTTGTTGGTGATTATCTGGCGCGACGGCGTGTTTCGGCTATTGACTACCTTTCTTGAGGGGGGGGGGGGGGGTGGTGTAAGGAATTTTCCCGAATTCTTTATCGGGGGTGACTGCTTCGCGTACAACCCGATTTTCGGGGTTCGCACGTTCGGCCGATTTCAACGCTGCCGAGGCTCCTCACGTCGCCTTCGGCTTTCCCATCGCCAAACCTACACCCAACCTCGCTCGTCCGAGGTTTCCTCCTAGCTAGAGTAGTCCTACATTAGTCTGTGCATTCATTGTATTCGCAGTTGATTCAATCACAGCTTCGTTATTCGTTTACCTGCGCACTCTCTTTTACAACTCATAACAAAACTCGTTCTATTAAAAAATAAAAAAGTATATTTTTCGCACGATGATTTGCACGATCGGTCTTGTACGCATTCCGAGTCGCACTTCGATTTCGACATTCCCGTCATTACCGCAGAAAAAGCGCCTCGCGCTCAAAGCAGCATATCCGCCTCCACCCGCCACAAGCACCAAGCCACTGATGGGCTTTGACATTGCCGTGTGCGGTTTGACGAGCACCGCCATCACTGAACGCCAAGCAGCCATCCATCACGATTCACGAATCCCCCCGTTCAGCACTCCATCTTTCCCAAAGCTTCCTCCCACATTCCCCCTTGGCAATCCACCACCAGACGCCAAGAGCAAGTTAAAACACTACACTACCATCAACATCAGCTGCCGCACTGACGATGTCGATGAGTCACGTCACGAGCACGATCCACTGGTTGCGATTCGTGCCGACCAATATTCGAACCAAACCCCGAGCCTCCAACCTTCTGCACCGCAGGTCCAGCTTGCACTCCTCGCTGCCACTAAAACAAAGCCTACAATTATATCTGAAACGCGACGTGTCGTCATGGTTCGGTTCGAACTGGATGTTCGGTCAACGATCGGAGACGCAAAGAGACGGAAAAGGCGGACACCAGTTGCACAACACATTAGATAAAGAGGAAGTTTCTCGCGCTTTCTGCGGCACGAGTCCTCCCTGCCATGCCCTTCCTTCCTTGCAGCTCACCTCACTCGCCCGCGCGTCTCACTCACTAGGAAGCAACCCCATCCCACCCCACCCCACCCCGCGAAAAAATTGGCGGCTAGTACTTCCTGCCGTGTAGACATACGCGTCGCCCTGTGCGCGCACCACATCGGCCTCTCAAGTTCAACTTGTCGTCGAACCGACGGAGAAAGGCGCGGTGCGGTGCTGCCGGCCCTGAAAAAACCTCACTCACGCGCACTTGAAACTCTCACGCTGCTCGGTGCGGTGGCCAGGTCAGCTCACATATCTGTCGGTGGCCAAGTCAACTCACCTCACTCTCCGACGGGTGCGTGTCACACATGCGACCCACCTCTCCAGTCTCGCTCACTAGCCGTCTCTCTCGAGTCTCGACTTATGATTCGAGCCTCGACTCGACTCATTGGTGCTCATAAGTAGCTCGGCCCCAGCCGTACCTGATTACAACTTCATCGATTGCAAGCTTTTGACAAGGCCACGTATACGTCCCTCGCTCTGTCCACCAGACAGCTCGTAGTAATATAAAAAATATCCGCTCCGTTTAGGTTCGCTTAGCACGTGTTTCTTTGAGGAAAACAATTCGTCGACTCGATAACCAGCCGCAGTAGGGTTCTCTCGTTAACCATTCAGCCATGGCGCTCAGCGACCTCTGCGGGTTCAACAAAGCTTCACAGAACCACGCGAGCGACTCGGCGACTTTAGCGACGACGGCATCTGCGACATGTACGACACGTGCAGCGACAACTGCCTGCGTCAAGGTCCAACGTCCGTCGCTCCCACTCACTCCAAACGAAACCCGCCCGCTCAAACGCTCCTCTTCCATTCGACGGATCTACTCGCGCAGCAACAGCGGGCTCTTCCCCTCGGGTTTCGTTGCGCCCAAGGGCATTTCCGAGTCGCCAGTAGGTCACTGCGCAAATCATACCGGCGCGGAAACTCGGAGGGAATTATGTTCCGAAAGCATTCCTGATATCGCGCTCGCCGTACGTCCTGCCTCGGAGACGGCGTGGCTGTTTGGATTTTCCGGCTTAGACTCGCCGTCCTTCAAGTTACCCTCACCGCCCGTGCGCTTCGACGTCGGAACAATCTTACCGTTTGCAGTAACCGGTACCTCAAGGCTCGCGATTCAGTCGCCCGCCTGCCAGTGCGACCGAGATTCCGCCATCTGCTGCTCCTGCGGACTTCCCCTGCACAATTCTACGAGTCATATTGAGTGCGCCTGCAGGCTAGCTTCATGTGATGAAGCTTCGCCTGGCGCGGAGCGCCGTAGTTCACCCATGACTCCTCCACTCACTGCAAGCAGCACCTCCACGGTAGATACCACCACCTCCTCTACAGCATTATGCTCTACAACACCAGATTCGGTGCACTCATTGTCAGCAGCAGCAGCGGCAGCAGAGACTGCAGCAACATGGAGAACGACACTTGAAGCAACAACTTTATCCTCGCTGGCAGACGCCTCAGTGTCCAAGCAAAGGCTACAGTGCAGAAAATCGAGTGATATAGTCACTACGAGCAACCGCCGTAGAGTGGTGGGTTTTGATGCACCCAGTTGTGACATCAGAGGTAGCAGATGAAGTTTGCCAGAGTGCGGAATTCTTGGTGACTCACAGTTGCGGACGCAAAAAAGAATGCTTGGTTGTATTCCGAATTTAGGTTTATGATATGTTCCCTTCTACTGTTCGCTTTTCACATGTGCCAACAGAAGTCACTGTACTGCAGAAGGCAACAAAGCAAGGTATTAATCGGGACCGAAACCACGAAGGAAACTGAAACCAGGACCGAAAATGTCATGTAAATTGGGACTTGTACACGAATTTCCCTAAACCCTCCACAAGCAAGACCATGTCAAACCCAGCCTCCCCCCTGCTCCCACCACTCCTGCTACAGCAGCTGCACCACAACCACCTATGGTTACTGCTGCTGCTGCTGCTAGTCCTGGTCTAGAAGTAACAGCTGCTTGGTATTGCTGTTTCTAGCATTTGATCATACCACTCCATCCCTGTTCAATCTCGGGCAACGAGGGGTACAACCTTAAGCCATTAAACAGCGACTCAGGAGCAAGCGGAAGGCGAGGCAAGGGAATCCGAGTCTTGGAGGAAGTCACATTTACTCCTCGCCCTTCTTGTTGTGCACATTGCCCTTGCGCGAGTACCTCATGTTGCGCACGAACTTCGCGTCCATCTGCAAGGCGAAACGGCAGAAGAAAAGGAGGAACGTAGGACGGAAGGGAGGACGGGGAAGAGGAAAACGCGGGGGGAGGAGGGAAGAGGGGGGGGGGGGGGAGGGGGGGAAGAGCAAGATGACGAAAATGAGCATAAAAGCAGAGGGATGGATGACATACAGCGGGCATAAGGGAGGCTGGCTCGAAAAGAATGAGGTGTGTGAACTTTCTATTCTCTAACAAGAAGGTCCATATGAGACTACTAGTGTTACAAATGAGATTGGCGAAAGTTCGTAACTACAGAGAAACTTCCCACACCCAACTCTCCTTCCGATTGGTGATACCAGGAAAAGGACCAGCAGCGTCAAACGAAATTGTGGAGCTGATGGAGGATGAAGAACAGCACAAATTACCTTCCGACTTCCTCCACCTTGGCAGCACTCACCCAGCAACATCCCAAGGAATGCTACGGTCCACCTTAAACAACGTTCAGTCGTGCCTCTACACGGGTATGTGAGAACCAGATGAAGAACTACCACCATTTATCACTCTCGAATCTCTAAGGTGAGGTGATCGCAGAGCCAGAAGGATTTGAAAGCTCAATCGATATTGATCCCTCACGCAAGAACGGTGGAACCACCATCGCTTAATTCTCTTTCAGAACTACTTACCCCAAGCGTGGAAGAGTATCTGTGCTTCTTGGGCTTCTTAATACCATTCTTGTGCTGCTTGTACGTCTGGTTGTGCGCCGTGTGGTTCTTCGACTTGGCCATGGCTGCCTCCGCTGTGGAAAACGAAAAAGGGAGCAAAAACACACCATTCAAAAACAAAGATAGAAACGACAACGGAAACGATGAGTGTTTCGTAGGTATCGAAGTGTAGATGTCACCTGCAGCATAAGCGGAAACTCCCAACCAAGTGAATCGCGGTAACTAAGACAGGTAGACGAGGGGATGATAATGGATGCAAGGAACCGGGCCATGTCACAAGTGGCATCAATAAACGGTGTGCTGGCGAATAACGATCATGGAAGAAACCCAAGATCCATAGGAGGACGGAATAAAGTCAAACTACGAGAACACCCCTCGGAGTGGCTATCTGACGCGACTGAGCCTAGAGATTGTTACGAACGACTATCTGGGCATGTTGCAGGAGATGGCGAGAAAGAACAAGCTAAGATTCCCCACTCAGCTACTCGACGAGCGGAAGCAAGATTCCATAGCACGTTTCGCGGAAACAACCCAAAGGTCAGTGAGCGAAAGCTGGCTTACAGAATGGAGAGCCTGAGTGGTAACTGGGCGAGGAGGGGGTGTACGAACTGACAGACAGGCAGGCTCTAGGAGATGGTCAGGAGCAGAGAGATTTTACGGGATCAAGGGTAGTACTTTGTAAGGCAAGGCAGAGAAAGGTGCAGCAGAGGAGGGTTTGGAGGGGATGAGGGGGAAGATGGGTGTACGGGGATCAGGTCGCAGGCGAGGGGAGAGCACGGGGACGATGAAGGCGGAGCGTTGAGAGAGCGGAATCAGGGAGTCTGCGGAAAAGCGGAAGCTGCAGGGGAATGGTTCATGCGCGAAAGTGCGACAGACAAAGCGAACTGGGATGGAAAAGCGAAAGACTAGTAACAGGGAAACATGTAACAAGAAATTAGTGGAGTAACGTGGCGGATCAAATCTGATATCGTCGTGAGATGGAGAGGGTGTGACAAGGCCTGGGAATTAGCGAAGACCAAAATGCGTGCTGAATAAAGCCAGTAGATAAGAAGCAAATACACTTCAATATCCGCGACGCTACGTCCACTTATTTGCAAGCAGGTCCAGGAGGAACAAGCAGACTGTGCATGTTGCCGAATACCGTAACAGCCTGTAAAAAACCGCCTGCGATACTTTCGTGCTCTTGATGACCGCAGAAGGAAATGTTTGGCTTAAAGCCCGCGGCCCAAGTTGCGGGTCGCGCTGGTCAACCTTACTATTCTTGATCGAGGGTTGCTTTGGGTTTCTTTCTTGCACGAACTAGGGTTACGGATTGTGAGAAGAAATCTGATTGGCCAGCGCACTTCCACTGAGTTCGCGAAACGTGAGCAGGGGGGAACTTTCAATATTATTATATGTGCAACGTGGGACTCTCGCAACTGAACACGAGCTGGCCCCTGGTGTTTGCTGTATCGGCAAGAAAAACAAAGCGTGGCGAAAATCTGGGCGAAACCAACTACACCCACCCCCCCAACACCTCGACTATTCTTTTCTCCACCTCCCCCACCACCCAATGGTCAACCTTAGTAAGGTTGAACAACTTGGGCTGCGGGTTTCAAGGAGAAACATTGGTTAATAACAAAACCATCACATGAGATATAGGTACTTCTCGATGTACCATACGCAAAAAAACATACTGCAAGAGGCCCGATCCACAAATGACAGTTTTGAGCACAGGAAAAACCCTACTAATACAAAAATTTCTTTTTCAGCATTATTTCTTTCTTCTGGATCCCTAGTTCAATCTGCCGTTCCTATCCTTCATGCAGTTGTGGTGGCAGCGGCGGCAGAAGCTGCAGCAGCACCACGGGGACCAAGGGAGCCAGACAGACGGGCGCTCTGAGCAACCCTTGACACATTGGAGATGTTCTCCTGAAACAGGGAGCACAAGGACGCAGGGAGCAATAGGAGAAGAGGCATTGGAGAAAACATGCATCTTGTGCAGGATGGAATACGCCTTACGGATCGATGACTTCACACGTTTTCCAAGTGGTGTAGAAGGCAATGTTCCAACGAAGGGCATGTGTACATGTCATGCAGACAATGTTCCAACAAAGGTCACGCAAGCAGGAACTGCTATACACGCCCCCGTTATACACACCTTCCACATTGCCAGGCGGTTCCTAAGCTCCACCCATTGCGGCAGTCCAAACACTCTCTGTGTGCTGCGCCTGCACTCACAGCACACACCACAGAAGAAACCAATCCACACAGGGCAACCATGTGTTAGAGCAGAAAACAGATGGACCGACTTGATAAACAGATGCAACAGCACATGTTCGGAGCACATCTAGCAACCATTATCCTCTCGTTGCCCCCACCGATTCTCTCTCCATGTCCTCTTTCAGAAAACCCCTCATTCGCTTCCCCTCCGTTCTTCCCTCATCCCTCCTCTCTCCACACCGGCCCTTCCACCCTGGCCCCCTCAACCCCACCCGAATCCTCACTCTATCCCCGCTGCCTCCCCCCCTCCCTTCCACCTCCTCCCCCCTCCCCCCATCCCACCCTCTACCCATACTCACGTGACAACGACAACGCGGCGCTGTTGGTCCATGCGAGCGTCCACGACCTTTGCTGCGATGGCACGCACCACCCACTGCTCCACCTCCTCCTCCGCCACCTGCCGTGCATGCACCATTGAGGGAGCAGCGGGGACGGGATGGCACGCGGAGACAGCGGCCAGCAGATAGGAGGCAGGGACAGGCACGCCGGTGCAGGGAAAGGGCAGAAGATCATGAGACACAGCACATGTGCTTTAATAAGCATGATGGATGAATACCGGACTGAAATACGTTACAACGAAGATGGTGCAAAGCAGGATGGATGGAGGGAAAGGGAGGAGAGAGAGTCAGATAGGAGGAAGAAGTGAAGCGGGGGGAGAGGGGGGATGAGGGGGAAGTAGGAGGGATAGATACAGTGGCGCACCTGGAGAGTGTCTTGCAGCAGCGCATAGCGGATCTCGCCCACAGCAAAGGCACCACCGCCAGCAGCAGCAGCGCCACCACTCCCCCCTGCAGCAGCAGTGGGGGAGGCCGCACTGCTAGCAGCGCCGGCACCGGAAGCAGCGGCAGCAGCGGAGGCAGCAGCTGCGAAGCTGTCCGAGGCGAGGGCTGCGAGGGAGAGCAGACGCATCTTGGCCTCGCACTCGTCGTGACTCAGCCCTGCACGGGAGGTGGGCAGGCGGAGGGTAGGTAGGAAGGAGTAGGGTGAGGGGAGGAGGGACGAAGGAAGGAGGATAATAAGGTGGAGAATGTGAAGGACGGAGAGAGCTGGGTAGGCTGGGGCTGGACAAACGAGATGCGAGAGACGGCGGGGTGGGAGGAGGGGCGATGGGGGAAGGCTGAACCAGCGGCTGTTGCGAGAGACAGGAAGCGACAACAGACATGCACGCAAGACACACGCACGCACGCATGATGCATGCCTGCCTGCGTAACCCCGTACACCTGTACACACCGTACCGTAGGTCTCCAGCGCAGTGGGGTTGGCCTGGACAAACGCATGGAACTGCGGCAGGCGCTCCTTGAGGAACACGCAGAGCAGCGCGTGCAGGGGCGCGTGCTCGGGTATGGACGCGAGGTGCTGCACGGCGGGCAGGTCCAGCAGGTCGCTCTGGAAGGCGTCGGGCGTGCGGATGAAGTCGATGGCCGCCTGCGCCGCTGCCTGCTGCGCTGCTGGGGACGCTGCTGCTTCCGCCGCTGTGAAGAGCGAGAGGTACTTGATGGTGAATGCGCTCGCGTCCTTGGCTCCCCTGTCGTGGGGAGGCAGGGGGAGGGAGGAGGGCGGAGGGAGAAGGGAGGAGAGAGGAGGGAGGGAGGAGGGAGAGGGAGTTGGAAGGAGGGGGGGGGGAGGGAGAGATTAAGGCATGAGCGCACTAGAGATGTAATTGATGGTGAACGCACTCGCGTCCTTGGCTCCTCTGGCGTGCAGAGGAGGTCGGACTGGAGAGGAGGGAGCGGTGAGTGGAGTGGGCGAGGGAGGGATATTGCAGGATGCCTCGTTCCGTTGGCCTACACTGCCCACTTGATTGATACTGGACTCCATCCATCTCAACTCCAGCCTAGCCAAGCTAGGGCTTGCAAAGGCCATCCATCCCCCATCCCCTCGGTCTAGCACCATGTACGCCTCATCATCTGATACTGGACTCCTGCAGCAGGGCGCCGAGCACCATGTAGGTTCCCCGACCTCCTCCATTCCTTCCCCCCCGTCTCCGCCCCAAGCATCCACCATAGCGCATCCTGAAAAAAAGACCCTGCGCCCATTCGCCGCCCTGCGCGCGCGCGCTTACCCTTTGGTGTCCTGCAGCAGCGCGCCGAGCGCGAGGTAGAGCTCTTTGAGCTCCTCCTTGTCGACGGCGCCGCCCCACTCGCGGAAGCACGCGGACGAGAAGAGCCGCGCCAGCGGCAGCATCAGCTCGTGCTGCTTGGCGGCCAGCGCCAGGCGCAGCGCCGCCGCGAACACCACGTAACGCGCGCGCGGACACGCGACGAGCGCGTTGTAAAGGAAAACGAGGCTGGGGCGGGGGGGCGTGGGGGGGGGGGGGGGTGGAGTTGAAAGGGGGAGAGAGGGGAGAGGAAGGGGGCGGGAAGCGGGGTTAGAGAGATAGAAGTGGCCGGGAGAAGCGGAAGAGGGGTAAAGAGAGGATGGATCTTGGGAAGCTCGTGCGGGGTGAGGTGCAGAGTGGAAGAGCGGGGGGATAGGGAGGAAGGGGAAGGCCGAAACCAGGTGGGCAACCGTGTTTGAGGGGCCTAAAAAAGTGGTGTGAACGGTGCTCAAGTCCCCTTCCACGCTGCTCTCCCTCCGCATTCCCCCCGCTCTCTCCCTGCGGCTCCTCGCTTGCGCCTGAGGCGCTCTGGTTTCCCCTTAGGCAACTCCCTCTTCCCCCACTAGGTGCTTATAATAACCACCAAGCCCTCTGAGCTCTTCGCTACATGTTCCTGCATATCCGCTGATATCCGCTCTTCACCGCTGCCTTCTCCTCCTCCGCACCTTTCCCCCCTCTCCCGCCGTTCCCACTCCCCATTTCCCTCCACTTCCGCATTTCCCCTCTCCCTGTCGCGCTCATCCCCGCCCTCTCCCCGCCCCCCTCCCTCCCCGTTCTCTCCCCGCCGCGCCTCCCCATGCGCGCCCCCTCCTCCCCCCCGCGCGCGCGCGCCTACATTTTGAGTTTGAGCGCGGGCTTGTCAGCGGGCGCCATGAGCAGCTTGGACGCGAGCTGGCTGGCGAGCGCCTCCACCTGCTCCTTGGCGTCCGCCTTGGGAATCAAACTCGCGATGAACGTGAACGCGCCCTCCACGTCTGCGCGCGGGAACGGGGAAAGGGGGGGGGGGGTAGCAAGGGCGGAGGGGGTGGCGGGGGCGGAGGGGGAGGGAGAGGCGGGAAGGGAAGGGGTGGGTAGTCTGCCACTGGGATTCCCTGATGAAACTAGATGAGGGAGCCGAGATGGGAGAGGGGGGGAGGGGAGGGGAGGGGAGAAGCGAAGAGATTGATTCCGGTTCAGATGAAGACACACAGGAGGAGATTCCTCATCCTATGCCCGTCTCGTTACCCCTCGTTACCCCTCCCCTTTCCTTTCGTAGCCCTGCTCTCCGTGTTCACCTTCCCATTTCTAATTCCCCGTTTCAAGCTACAGGTCCTTTGCTATGCACTCTCTCCGGATCGCCTTCACCTTCCCTTATCCCACGTGTACTTTTCCTTTTCCTTTCCCCTCTCCCACTTCCGCTTCTCCCTTCTCTTCCTCTTCCCTTACCCCCTTTCCCCTCCCCCTTCCCTTTCTCCCTTCCTCTTTCCCCTTCTCCCCCTTCCCATTCTCCCTTCCTCTTTCCCCTTCTCCCCCTTCCCGTTCCCCCTTCCTTTTTCCCCTTCCCCGTGCCCACCTTTCTCCGATCCCTTGGCGAGGACGGTCTCCGCTGACGTCAGCAGCAGGCTCACCAGGTCGGCATTGCGGTTTGCCGCCAGCAACGTGCCGGCCTCAGCTACAGCCTGCGCTACAGCCGGGCCCGCCACCTGCGCCGAGAAATCAACGTAAGGAATTTTATAAGGGGAATCGTAGGTGGAGAGCCGGGGAGGGAAGGGGAGGGATTGAGAGTGCCATAAAGGAGAAAGTAAGAAGAATAGGTGAAGGGGATATGACGAAGGAACAAAAGGAGAGACAGGCGCGGGTCAGAAGGGCAGAGAAGCGAAAACGCAGGTACAAGTTACACCACAGCCCACCATAGCCATCGGCATCTCACACGCCCTCCTCCTCAGCTCTTTAACTCGAATTTCTCGTCTCACGCTCCTCTCGCTACCCTCCTCTGTCCCCTCACGCACTCCCAACGTCACCGCCGAGCCCCAAAGTCTTAAGTCTAAGCTTGGGAGTACTCAACGTATATTTCCGTTCGCGAAAGTCTACTTGCGAACTAAATACTGCACCATCTCGCATTCCTGCCTTCGAATCTGACCGGCTGCTAGCATCAGCGGCTGGTTTCCGTGACAAAAAAACCCTCAACCCCGCACGCGAACACTAAAGCTCGGACCCCCGATCCGACACGTGATTCGGCCAATATAACCCTCTCAACAATCCTCTCGAAGAGGCCTATATCGCGGATTGCACCCACCTCCTCACCACCTTCGGCCCACGCGATCTCCGCGCAGAATCGCGCCACGACGAGCGTGGGCTCTTCCTCGGATGTGGGGACCAGAGTCGCCATCTTGTTCGGCTGCCCGACCAATGGGAAGACGTCCAAATTCAAACAGTAACACGGTAACCCTAATCTGGGAAGGAAGGCGAGTTTCCTCGAGGTTTGGCGATTTGGAATTCGGGACCGCGAAGCTCGCTAGACAGTCGTCCGAAAATACGTTAATTACTGACGGGAAGATCCAACGTGACGGTGGATCAGTCTTAAGGCGTTTAGGACAACGCGAAGCGAGATAACGAACCCTCGAGGGACTGCTGCAAATCCGTCACGACGAGCAACTATCACCGTTGCTAGCTCTCGCAAACGCTAGATAAGGCCGAGAGGGAGAAAGGGATTCGAGGTATCAGAGGATAAAGACACGATCAGGGATCGCGCGGTCCCAGGATAGTGGCAGTATCGTTGAGGCAGCAGAGGAAAGAGGGTGGGGTGATTGGCAGGGGGAAAGGATAAACTGGAGGGGTTGGTGCGGAGCAGCCGCTGTAGCTACTGCTATTTTTTCCGCTTTCGCGCGGAAAGGGGGGAAGGTGGGGGGAAGTTAGGTGTATGTGGGTGTGCGCCGATGGGCGGGGAACGGGTTCCGCCCAGAGAAAGCTAGGTTGGAATCTCGGGTGAAGAAAGTTAGTGATTAGAACGAGTGAATTTTTGTTTTTTTAGAGTGGTGTGTCGTATTTTATGTACAGTCTGAGATTGCACGACAATCCACTGTAACATTTCAGGCGACCTATATCTAATGTCGCGAGACTCTTGCCTGGATTATTGCGTGTGGTCTGAAATGGCAGATCCAACGGCAGATATACATCATCGATAACTGCGCGCAATCTGCATCGCAGATCTGATTCAACAACATTGCGCGATTCGAAGAACAAGCACCCAATGTCCCAATTGGGGATTTGCTTCTTTCTCTTTCACATTCACCGAGGCCAATTCCTCCAGCCCCAACATGACTCATGTTGCCTATATCACGTACATTCATCTCACAATATCCAACTAAGTTGGCCTGTCTTTGTTCTTTCCATAATTTCCTTCTGTTCTAGTAGAAGCCAACAACAGATAATTGAGCATGAGTAGCGCTGGTGGATTTTCCGGAATAGTAGGCGCGCGCCGGCCCACCGACTCGGTGCCACCGGTAGGCGTGACGCCTACCAGTAACACAAATTTCTGGGGGACAAACCCCGCGTGGGGAACTGCTTGGGGCTCCCCTGCTGGTGCTGGTGGTGGCGTTGGCGGTGGATCTGGGACAGGTGCATATGGCGAACCGGTTAGCGGAACGCCTGTGAATGTATCTCAGTCTGCTCCGCTTTCGGCTGGGTTTCACGAGTGCTATGTGCAGAGTCGTGTGGAGGCACCGCATGTGAAGCGTCTGCTCGTGTTGCGCATCCTGACGTTTATCTTCAGTGTGCTTTGCATCAGGTAATTCCTTACTACAGCTTAGCTACTCCGACGTGATGATGATTTAATTGACGGTAAAAGTAAGGCCCACACTAAACAGAAAGAGGCTCTCAACCGAAAAGAAGGTGTTTACGATGAGTTTCAGAACAAGGTGATATCCTTTTCCTTGAATGTATCACTGAAGGAAACCATCTGAGAAGATCTGTTTGACCTTACGTTTTTATTCATAAATTGAAAATTCTTCGCATGATGTGAAATTTCTTCACGACTCCTTTTTGTACTCTCCCCTCTTACCTCCTATTCGTATTCGCCCTGATTCGAAAACAGCGTGCTACTGGGTGCGCCAACGGGCCAGTACACCTTTACCTTCTTCGTCGCCTATTCTCTCCTCTTTGCTATGGCTTCCGTCTCCATACTCTATTCCTTCCTCCTCGTCATCTTCTCCTGCGCGTGGATATTCCGTGCGCGCCATGCTTGGGGGCGGTTCATGACAGGAGCGCAAATGTTCATGGACTTCGTGAGTTATCTTCACTTCTACCTTTGACTCATAGTTTCTCATAAGCTCATAACATCTACTCACAGTTTGTTGGTTAATTCCTGTATTTCTGAACTTTTACCGAGTGCTCCTCCATGTTCTAACACACTGTCTCATTTAAATATGTTTGTTTGCTGTTTTTATTTCCTATTTCTTATTTTTCCAGCTAGTGGCTCTCCTGATGTTCGCAGCTGCCACAGCAGCAGCATGCCAGACGGGTCAGAATGAGCAAGGGGTTACCATCATGGGACGCCGTCAACTTGTCAGCCTTTGCTCCAGTGCTGACATCCTTGGATTTGGATCGTAAGAGACATCTATATGTTTCTGACACCTCTAACACCTGCTATGCTGCTAATTTTGCTTGCCATTATTCCCTTCAGCCATGTGTAAGGATGTGTTCTCTGTTTTGCTGTTTGTCAGGAATCGGTTTTGCAGTTACATGCAAGGGGCAACTGCCTTGGGGTACCTCGCCTTCTTCACAGTGTTACCTCTGTATTGGTAAGATCGGAGAAGCTTTAGTCTGTATGAGTTTGGTTGAAGTCTAATACCTACCGTATCTGTGTCGCTGATGTTTGTTTCTTTACTCGTTTGTTTTGGCAGGATGAATAGGCGAGCTTGGTACAAAAGCTTCTGAGTGGGACATGCCATGTAGTTTTTAGGAATGAACTTTAGATATTTGGCGGTAAATTGTGGGGAATGAGGCTGGAACACGTGTAATGACATACCTAGTTTGATGGCATGGATTATGATATCACGACCTTCTCGTTACCTATAAGCTCGAGGACGTTCGGTTAAGCTACCATAAATTGATGGTGGCCTCTCATTATCGCGGATTTATGATTCAACAAATTACAATGGGTTCAGGTCAACAACGACGAACCATGGCAATGCTTGAAGCCCTGGCAATTGGCCCACTCTCCAGTTTTGTCTTGTCCTTTTAGAAGATTCTGGGTGCGACCACTGGCCAGGCGGTGAGAAACGGGGGATCCGTTTTGTTTTTTCCTCTCTGTGCACTCCCAGTTCCTTTCGAGAGTTTGAAAATTCTCCTCCACTCGAACTCTACAGCGTTGCGACTTTACAAAGTTCCGTGCGCGCTCCCTCACAAAGTTATTTCAACCTCTCTCCCATTTCATTCGTTAACAGCTTTCGCGCATTTAGTTACACACCCTAGGAGGAACAATGAACGCCAATCACCCTCCCTCCATGCTGCTTGGTTTCCACATATCGCTGGGGTTGTTCGTTGCTTGTTTGCTCCATCGCCCCTTCGTTACTGCCCGCGCCCCACCAACTCTCTAGCAGTTCATCAAGAGATGGCAGTCATTGTTAAACATTTCGAGACTCAAAACTCATGACAGCACCACATTTTACTCCAACAACTTCGCAGGGGGCCGAACCAGGCCTGTCGAAGTTCCTGGGGCCAACACTTTGAGTCCTGAGCTGCTCGAAGTTTGGCCCTGATTTTCGCGAAGGTGGTGTTTTTTAGCCCTTAACGATCACGGGTGCAGGTCAAATTCGAAATTTGAAATCAGGGCTTCTTAAAAAAATGTACGTTTGCCCTAATTTCGCAAAGGCGGATGTCAAATATTACTTCGCAGCGTGAAGGACATTGCTAACGACTGTCTGTAAACCTATAGCAGAGAGGGGTGGGGGGGGGGAGAGGGGCGGGGGAGGGGAGGAGGGGGCTCGTAGGGCAAAACATCGTCAGCAAAGAAGTCGTTCGAATTCTTGTGTACATTTGCAAAGCACCTCCGAGGAGGTTCGTTCTCATGTAGTACTACTAGTGTGAGATGGCGTTCCTGAGATGGGGCCCCATCCGAACTTCCCCCATCGCCACGTAAGGGTGTCAGTGTCTCGAGTCCAGCGTGAGTACTTGTGAGGAGTAAAGACTGTCTTAGAAATATTTTGCAGCCACATCCATAAACATCAACACTAGAAAGTCCTTTCATACCAAGTAGATAGAATGTGGGAGCTACCGAGATAATGAGTGCGGGAGGAGAAGAGTGGCAACTTAGGAAACTGGCAGGGCTACTTGTACTCCTGATCCGGGATTTCAGGGAAGGGCCCTGAACCAGCCCTTAAGGGATCCGGGCTGATACCCCAATTTCTCAAAATCAGCCCGTAAGAAAAACGGGCTCCCCTCGAAACCAGCCCTTTGAAATGCCGAAGCTGGCCAGGAGTTCGCCCGGAATGTTCAGGGCATTAAGGGCAAATGCCCTTGAATCGACAGCCCTGGGCCGAACCTGAACGTGGTTCATGTTGTTCTGCTCTGGTGGAGTGCTGTGCTTTCTTGCTGCATGTGGACGCTGGTTTGTTTTGTAGTGAGTGCTTCTGGAACTTCTGGAAATTGTGCTCGCGCGCTGGTGCCTTCCTCGCTTCTACAGCCCAGACTCCTAGGAGGTCTTATTCTTTGTTCTCCTCGTGCTGCACCGTGCGAACAGTCTCATTGCTCCAAGGACCTGGCGGAACAACCTGACAGATAAATTCCCGTAGGTCAGGTAGACCTTCCGAAGCTTCTGCGTTTGACAACGTACTGGAGACCGTGATACTGAAACCCTTTCCTACTCATCGTGCGTTCGTTTCCAACATCATCCTTGGTTTACGGCAAGAGTTTCTTCGCTCTTCCTGTCCCTAGGTTAATGGCTCAGCAGATTTTATCTAGTGTCATTTCAATCTAATTGCATCTTTTCGGTTCGGAAAGATCCTGCTGCTAAGAAAGTCGTGTGGAGTAGGTGCTTAGTCGTTCCGATTGACCTTGCAGGAAGTTTAACCGTTCCTCAGTCCATAGTGTGATTAGGGTGGTCATAACTACCATTCGCAAATAGGTCAGCCGGGAACTATCTCAGTTCAAGTCACTCCACTCTCAAGAAATTAACGCCCTCGCACCCACGACCAACTATTCTTCCAGTAGAATATAGGGTGCGACCAGCTGACATTCCGGAGCAGTGACGAGTCTAAGTAAACACCGCGTACGCCGCAATGGGCGATCGGCAATGGACCAGCATGCGGGCGCCGCGTCCCGCAGCGCCGGGAACCATCCGCGAAGACGAGGAGGGCGTGCAGGACGCTGACGTGGCATCGGATATCACAAAGCAGAAAGTAGCCGCTGCGAAGAACTATATCGAGCAGCACTATAAGCAGCGCATGCGCACGCTGCAAGAACGGAAAGAGAGGTGGGCGGCTGGAGCTATTAGATGTGCCTTCCTTAACGTGTTTAAGCGCTTTATCCGTATCTAGTTGCTTGCCCCTTTACGCGCTATTGTTCACACGTCCGCGAGAGACTATTTCGCCATCTGTGGTTACTTGCGTTCGAGCTGAAGGGAGGGAGGGAGAGGTGGAGAGAAGGTGAGTGCAAATGACGTGGGGATCGATCTGGGAAGAGAATGTCTGGGGCGGATGGGGAGGGGACGACGGAGGCGGGAGGGGGAGGAGAGAAGCGGTACGTAAGGAAGGCGCCCGCCCGCGCGCGCGCGCGCGCGCACGCACGCACGCAAATGCTTGTCTTCTCACTCTCCTCTACCACTTTCTCCCTCTCTTTCTCTCGCTTTCTCTCCCTCTCCCTCCCCTCGCCTCCTCACCCATCCGCTGCGCGCGCAATGCAGGCGGCACGAGCTGGAGCGGCGGCTGGAGGAGGAGGGCGTGTCTAACGAGGAGCAGGAGGGCGCGCTGCGCGAGCTGGAGCAGCGCGAGGCGGAGATCATGCGCCTGCAGCGCCACAAGCTCGGCGTGGACGACTTCGACCTCCTCACCATCATCGGCCGCGGGGCCTTCGGCGAGGTAGGTGGGGGGAGGGGGAGAGTGGTGAGAGGGTGGGGGGAGGGTGGGGGAACGGAAGGCAAGGGTAGGGAAGGAGTTCGTGACAAGCTCGGCGTTGCCGACTTCGACCTCCTCACCATCATCGGCCGCGGGGCCTTCGGCGAGGTAAGAGAGGGGGATGGATAGGGAGGGCGGGGGGGAATGAGGAGCGGGCGGGGGAGAGGGAGAGCGGGGAAAAAGGGGGAATTCCGAGGGGTGAAATGCGGTTATGATAAGTGCGTAGGGAGAAAAGAAGGAGGAGTGGTTGTTGGAGTGGAGGGAAGAGTTGTAACAGGAGCGGGGAGGAGGAAAGGGTGGGTAGGGAAGGAGGTCAGTGGGAATTGGATTGAGCGGAGCAGAGAGTGCGAGGGCTGTGGGCGAGTTGCTGTGGCGAGTGCTTTTCTTCATTCCTCTCGGTTGACTTGACTTGACTTGTCCCAATACTTGCTTTGCTTCCAACTTTCTTCACATGCGCTCGCTTCTTCCCCTCCATGGCCCCTTCCCCTCTCCTCCATCCCCCCCTGCTGTTCCGCCCTCCCCGCTCCTCTCTTCCCCCCGTTCTCCCCCTTTCTCGTCGTTCTTCTTCCCCTCCTCCTCATGCCCTCTCACACTCACACATTCCTCCCCCCCTCCCTCCCCCTCCCCCCTCTCTCCCGGTCACACACACCCATCCATACCCTCTCTCCCCCCTTGTCTTTCCTCACGCGCGCACGCATTCCCGCCTGTGGGTGGCGAGCAGGTGCGGCTGTGTCGGGAGAGGGCGACGGGGAACGTGTACGCGATGAAGAAGCTCAAGAAGGCAGAGATGCTTCGCCGCGGCCAGGTGCGTTGGCGTGTGGGGGAGGAGGTGGGAGGAACGGATGGATGTGTTTCTGTGTGTTTCTGTCTGTGTGTGCATATGCGTGTTTCTGTGTGTTTCTGTCTGTGTGTGCATATGCGTGTTTCTGTGTGTTTCTGTCTGTGTGTGCATATGCGTGTTTCTGTGTGCGTGTGCGTGCATGCATGCATGAGTTGGGACGGGAGAAGAAGGCGGGGAATGTGTACGCCATGAAGAAGCTCAAGAAGGCCGAGATGCTTCGCCGCGGCCAGGTGTGTGTGTTGGGGAGGGGGGTGGGAGAGAGGAGCTGCATGTGTGCATGTGTATGTATGTGTGTGTGCATGCTCCACTGCTCGTTCCAAGACTAGGAGTTTCTGTCTTTTGAGAATTCTCAAAAAACACGCAAGGCAAACCCCCCCCGGCTATCCGTCCCCGCCCCTGTCCTCGCCTCACCCCCCGTTGCACCTGTTCACATCACATCACAGGTGGAGCACGTGAAAGCAGAGCGGAACCTGCTAGCCGAAGTGGGCAGCAAGTGCATCGTGCAGCTCTACTGCTCGTTCCAGGACGAGGAGTTTCTGTCCAACTGCAACCCCCATCTACCTACCCCTCTTTGCCCTGTCAACAGGTGGAGCACGTGAAAGCAGAGCGGAACCTTCTCGCGGAGGTGGGCAGCAAGTGCATCGTGCAGCTCTACTGCTCGTTCCAGGACGAGGAGTTTCTGTACCTGGTGATGGAGTACCTGCCGGGCGGCGACATGATGACGCTGCTCATGCGCAAGGACACGCTCACTGAGGACGAGGCGAGGTTCTATGTTGGCGAGACGGTGCTGGCCATTGAGAGCATCCACAAGCACAACTACGTGCACAGGTGGGCAATAAGGACGTGCGCAGGACCGCAGGTGGGTGGGGTTTGGGAGTGGGCTCGGAAGGAGGGTGAAGGAGAACCTGCTGGGGGGGCGACATGGATTACATGCGCAAGGACACCGCTCACTGAGGACGAGACGCGCTTCTATGTGGGCGAGACGGTGCTGGCGATCGAGAGCATTCACAAGCACAACTACGTGCGTAGGTGGGTGGGTGGGTGATACGTTGAAAAACATTTACACAGAGCTCTACAGGTGGGATGGAGAGAGGTACACAGGTGGGCTTTGAGTTGACTCAAAAGGGGGTCATTGGTTGAGAGTCAACTAGGTACTATGGGGGAAATGGTGCTGGCCATTAGGAGCACCCACACGCACAACTACGTGCACAGGTGGGTGATCTGGTGGGGAACAGAGCGGCCAATTGAGGGTGCACTGCACATAGGTGGGTGCAACTTGCAAGGTAAGAACAAAAAACGGCTACCGATTTTTGCAGGCCATTAGTAACGGTGAGATTCTGTAAAGTACCGCAATCCTTGCTCTTTTTGTTGGAACCTTTTTTTTTTTTTTTTTTTTAAAGCAAAAATGTGTTCACAACTTGATGAGTTGGTCCTCCACCTCACCTCCCCTTCCCCCCCCTCCTCCTCCCCTCCTTTCCCCATACTCTCGCTTCCAGACAAATCAAGCCGGACAACCTGCTGCTGGGCCACCACGGCCACATGAAACCCCGCCTCATCTCATTCCCCGATTCCCCCGGCCCCGTCCCACATCCCTTTCCCCATCCGCCCCCTCTCCCCCCACCCACCACCTCCCCCCCCAGGGACATCAAGCCTGACAACCTGCTTTTGGACCGGCACGGGCACATGAAGCTCTCGGATTTCGGCCTGTGCAAGCCGCTGGACTGCCGGCACCTGCCCACCATCACAGAGAGCGAGGAGGACGCCATGCAGGCCGGCATGGCCGCGGGCGGCCCTGTGGGTCCCTCCCCTAGCGGGCGCACGCAGCAGGAGCAGCTGCAGCACTGGCAGCGCAACCGCCGCAGCCTGGTGCGTGGTCAGGGCGAGGGGGAGGGGGACGGGGGGAGGGGGACGGGCGGAGGGGGACGGGGGGAGGGGGACGGGGGGAGGGGGACGGGGGATGGGGAGAGAGGAGGAGGTGAAAGTGGGAGAGGGAAGTGGGACTGGGGAAGGAGAGAGGGGATGGGGGCTGGGGAGTGGGATGGAGGAATGTTTGGGGGGTAGTGTGGGAAGTGGGAGTGAGGGAGTGGGATGGGGCCGGGAGTGGGTGGGGTAAGGACAAAGGTCTGTTCCATTACTATTCTCTCTCTCACTCTCCTTTACTCTACTCCACCCGCTCCCCCCCACTCTTTTTTGTTACCTCCCGAAACACACCGGTTCCTAGCCCAACACTAACAGCAGCAAGAGTTTTGAGGCGCCTCAGAAGTCCTTTACTCTACTCCACCCGCTTCTTCTCCCCTCCCCCCCCCCCCCTCTTTTCGCTACCTCCTTCCCGAAACACACCGGTTCCTAGCCCACATAGTAACAGCAGCAAGAGTTGCCCGTGAGTGAACTCAAGCAGCAATGAAACAGTGCAAAGCAGCGCACACCAACGGCGCACAGCGCACCTGCTCCACTTCCCACCTACCCCCCTCTCCCCCTGCCCCTTCCCTCCTGAAAAACGTGTCTTACGTCCTTTCTGCTACACTTGACTTCCTCAGCTGCCGTGTCACCAGTCATATCGCATGAAACCATGCCATTCAATGCCGTGTCGTTCTCTATTGCCTCCCACTCCTACATCCGCACCCCGCCATGGCACGGCAGGCGTTTTCAACGGTGGGGACCCCGGACTACATCGCACCGGAGGTGCTGCTCAAGAAGAGAAGGGACACCTGTCTTCCAGGCTACGTACTTCCTTATCTCTAACCGTCCTTCCTTCCCTTCCTGTCCCCCACCTGTCCTTCAGGCGTTTTCAACGGTGGGCACCCCGGACTACATCGCACCGGAGGTGCTGCTCAAGAAGGGCTACGGGCTCGAATGCGACTGGTGAGCGCGGATGAGATGAGAGGGGTTGACAGGGGTGAGCGGGGGTGAGAGGACTTTTGAGACGTCTCGAAAGTCAACGGTGGGGACCCCGGGCTACATCGCACCAGAGGTGCTGCTCAAGAAGGGCTACGGGCTCGAATGCGACTGGTGAGAGGGAGGGGTGCCTGGAGAGAGGGGCGCCTGGGGGTCACCGGTGAAAGGGGATGAGAAGGGGATGAGAAGGGTTGAGAGGGGGTGAGAGGGGATAAGAGGCAGTTGACTGGTGCTAGCGTGCTCTGGCAGCCGAGCCTTCCAGATTAGTTTTTCTGCCTCCCACAGGGTTTCTGGAAAAGCTAAGCACCACTATTGACCAGAAAAGCTAATCTGACGCTCTGCTGCTGTGGTGCTAGGCGCTCCTTGCGAGAAGTGGACAGCGATGTTTCAAGCACTGCTATTTTTTTAGAATTCTCAAAAAACTTCCAGATTCTCCCTGGAATGTGAGCGAATGCTCTCTCTGAAATCGCATTCTGACTCAACCCCCTCTCCTCCTACTCCTCCTGCTTCCCCCCCCCCCCCCCCCCCAAAACCCTTTCCCCCTGCCTTCCCTCTGTGTCCCACCTGTCACGTTCCCCCTTGCCTCCCCATGCCCGTGGGCAGGTGGTCGCTGGGAGCCAGCCATCATGTACGAGATGCTGCTGGTGGGGTAGCTTTGTTGTGAGGCGCCGCAAAAGACGTCCGCGCTCCTCCCTTTTCTGTTGCGCCCCTCCCCTTTCAGGTGGTCGCTGGGAGCCATCATGTACGAGATGCTGGTGGGGTATCCGCCCTTCTACTCCGATGACCCCATGACCACCTGCAGAAAGGTTGGCCGTGGGAAATGAGGGTTTGGGTGTGGGTATGCGGGTATGTGTGCGTGGAGGCGGGAAGAGGGGGCTTGGATGTCTGCATGCGCGTGTGTATGGTGTGCGTGTGTGTGTACTCACTCTTTCTCCCTCCTTAAGTGTCTCCTCCTGCCCTCCCTCCCTCCCTCCCTCCCTCCCTCCCTCCCTCCCTCCCTCCCTCCCTCCCTCCCTCCCTCCCTCCCTCCCTCCCTCCCCCCCCTCCCTCCCTCCTCCCCTCCCTTCTTCCCACCCACCCACCCGTCGCCCGCACACCCGCCCTGCGCGCACCTGGGCCAGATTGTGAACTGGCGGACGCACCTCAAGTTCCCCGAGGAGGCGGTGCTGACGTGGGAGGCCAGGGACCTCATCAGCCGCCTGCTGTGCGACGTGGACCACCGCCTCGGCACCATCAGCGTCGACGAGATCAAGGTGCTCAACCTCCCCTGTCCCATTCTCCGGAGAAACGCCCGGTCCTCTCCTCTCTGCCTGCAACCCAACCTCCCCTGTCCCATTCTCCGGAGAAACGCCCGGTCCTCTCCTCTCTGCCTGCAACCCAACCTCCCCTGTCCCATTCTCCGGAGAAACGCCCGGTCCTCTCCACTCTGCCTGCAACCCAACCTCCCCTGTCCCATTCTCCGGAGAAACGCCCGGTCCTCTCCTCTCTGCCTGCAACCCAACCTCCCCTGTCCCATTCTCCGGAGAAACGCCCGGTCCTCTCCTCTCTGCCTGCAACCCAACCTCCCCTGTCCCATTCTCCCCCGGCCCGCACCGCACCCCCTGCTTTCCTTTCCCCACTCCCCCTTGCCCCGACTTCCCCCTGGATGCTACCACCCCGCCCCCTTGCCAGCCTCCTCGTGCCTATCCCATCTCAGCCACCCGGGGTTCGCAGGGCTGCCGTGGGAACTTTTGAGTCCACTCAAAAGTCGGCTGTACAACATGAAGCCGGGCAGTCAGGCAGCTTAGTTAGCTTACCCTTGTACCGCCTTTTGGACCAAATCTCCCTGCGAAGCTTAGTTAGCTTCCTTTCAGAGCCACCCGTGGTTCGCAGGGCTGCCATGGGAGCGGCTGTACAACATGGAGGCGGGCAGCCAGGCAGCTTAGTTAGCTTACCTGTGTACCACCTTTTTGTCCGAATCTCGCTGTACTCCCTCCTCTCAGAGCCACCCGTGGTTCGCAGGGTTGCCGTGGGAGCGGCTGTACAACATGGAGGCGGCGTTCCAGCCCGAGGTGGTGGACGAGCTGGACACTCAGAACTTTGAGAAGTTCGATGAGGTGCGCGGGGGGGGAGGGGAGGGGGAGGAGTGCGGGGTGAGGGGTGCTGGGTGAATGGGAGGGAATGGGCGAAGGGTGAAGGTGAAGGGGCGTGCACCACCTTCCAGCCCGAGGTGGTGAACGAGCTCGACCCTCAGAACTTTGAGAAGTTTGACGAGGTGCGCGGGGGGGTTGTGAGGGTGTGGGCGGGGTGAGGGGTGGGGGAAGTACGGTAAGGGGGGAGGTCAGGGGGAGGTCAGGGGGAGGTCAGGGGGAGGTAAGCTGGGGGTATTTAGGGGAGGGAGGGTAAGAGAGGAAGGAGGGGGGATGGCTTTAGCGTTTGAGACGACTCAAAAATAGGTGGCCCTCGCGTCTAAATTCCCAATGATATGTAAGTTTTCTCATGAACCACTTGCAACAAGAAAAAGAAAAAGAGGGGCAAGATTTTGGTGGTGGGTGACAACTACACACACGCGCGCGTTCGAGCACACACACACACACACACACTCACACACCCACACTCACACACACACACTCACACACACTCACACACACACATACACACACATACACACACACTCTCACACACTCACACACACACACACATACACATACACACCCACACCCACACCCACACACACTCCCACCCACCACACACACACACACATACACACCCACACCCACACACACTCCCACCCACACACACACATAACTTCCCTTCCCCTGTGGCAATTACAAGGCATTTTTTTATGCAGTTCTCGAGTCCTTTGCACTTCTGTGTTAAGCAGTTTTGTGCACTCTTCTCCTCGTAGCCTCCCCGCCTTCCCTCTTTTCCCTTCAACCCTCTCATCCCATCCCATCCCATCCCATCCCATCCCATCCCATCCCATCCCATCCCATCCCATCCCATCCCATCCCATCCCATCCGTCCCCTCTCGCTCCCACCCTTTTTGCGCCCTCCCACTCAACGTGGTGGGCACGGCATGGCACGGCACGGCAGGTGGACGAGATGCCATCGGGCCAGGGACGAGCCGGCCCATGGAGAAAGGTGCGTGCCACGCTGGGGATGGTACGCCTTAGCCAAGGGGAGGGCTCACTGTGGGAAGGGTTTAGGGTGGGATGGGTTGAGCTGTCTCCACAGTGCACAGACTCAATGCCAGCCAGCAGTTTACTGTTGTTCAGATTGAGTTAAACTTCTTGGGCGGACATTTTGGCTACACGAGGTCTGGTGCCTCTGGAGTTCCGAGATCTCTTGCTCCTCTTTCTCCTCAACTTCTCACCCAAATTCCCCCATTCACCCCGTTCCCCCTTTTCCCCCACTTCTCCCCCTTCCCCCGTTTCCCTCGTGGGTGGACATTTTGGCTACACGAGGTCTGGCGTGGAGTTCCGAGATTTCTTGCTCCTCTTTTTCCCCAGCTTCTCACCCAAATCCCTCCATTCCCCCCATTCCCCCCTTTCTCCCGCTTCTCCCCCTTTCCCTGTTTCCCTCCCTCTGTCTCCCCTTCCCGTGTTCCCTTGCGCTGCACTCGCTCCTTTCCTCTCCCTCCTTGCCCTGCCCCTCCTTGCTCTGCCCCGTGCGCGCCACCCTGCTATCCGTCCCTATTGCAGATGCTGCTATCCAAGAACATCAAAATCATGGGATACACATATCGCAACATAGAGATTGTGCAGGGTCGTACACACTCTCTCCTTCCCCACACCTCCCCCCCCCCCCCTCTTTGTCCCGTTCATTCACATCCCTATCCACCCCCTTTCCCCCCCCCCACTATGCATCGCAGATGCTGCCGTCCAAGGACATCAACTTTGTGGGGTACACATACCGCAACATGGAGATCACACAGGGGGCACACTCCGCAGGTGCGTGCTGGGTGATGGGTGCTGTTGTGTCCTTCTAGTGCACTCTGTTGGTGTGTGGGGCGATGGGGCGATGTTGATGGGTTTTTTTATTGGATACGTGCCTTTCCTCCTCCCTCCCTCGTTCTTCTGGGCCCCCACCTCTCCCCCCCCCTTGCCCCCCTTTCTCTTGATCACTCACAATCTTATGCACTCACAACGCCTCGCTCATCCTCTTCCTCCCTTAATCCCCACTCACATTGACAGCACGCTCCCCTCCTCCACACTTACACAACCTCTAATCATGCACGCGTTCTCTTCCTTCCCCTGCGTGCGTTGTTCTGCCTGCCATGTGATGCCATGCTGTACCATGCCATGCCATGTGCCATGCCATGCTGTGTGCCATGCTATGCCGTGTGCCGCACCATGCCATGCCACATCATGCTGTGTGGGATTGACGGCAAGCAGAGCTGAAGAAGAAGAGCAAGCCCAAGCGGCCCTCAGCCAACGCCCTGTTCGGAGGTGAGGGAGTGTTTGGGGTGGGGAGGGTATGTGATGCATGCGGCATTGGCCCTCACCATCTGTGGGGTCAATGTGAATGGCCTCGGCGGCTGCGCCAAACGAACCAAGAATAGACGCTGGCTACGTACGGCAGCTGACATTATGGTGCTATCGGATACTAGGATTAAGGAGGACCAAAATTTCTGGAGCGAGATCAAACCGAGTGCGTGGGCTGCGGTTGGGCCGAGTCAGGCGGCGGGAGGGGTCGCTGTCATGACCTTCAGCAGGCGCATCCGTTTTACTGAGGTGGTGTCAGATCCATCTGGGAGACTTTTGGGAGTCACAGTGGAAGGGGGGGAGGAGCCGTTCAGGTTAGTCGCGGCGTACCTCCCGGCGCAGGCCTGTAACAGGACGAAATTTCACAGGGATAATCTTCAGCAGTTCATACAAGCGCAACCGCAGTCTAGGCACCTGGTGGTGGTGGGTGACCTGAACATGATCGCGGATCCGGACCTGGATAGGTCATCAGGTTTAGGGTCGGGAAGGGAGAATCAAAGGTTTCTTGACGCCTGGTAGGGGTATGATCTGCTCGACGCTTTCCGCGCGTTGCATTCCACGGAGCGAGAGTACACTTTCCTGGTGAAGTCAACGCAAACGAAGTCCCGCATTGACAGGGGGTTGGTGTCGATGTCACTGCTCGGCAATCTGGAGGGGGCCCGCCACGTGGAAGTGCCGAGAAACTTGTCGGATCACTGGTTCGCCATCAAGATTCGGTTGAAGTTCGTGTCGGAGCATGCCTACGGGCCGGGGCTTTGGAGATTTCACGCAACACGGAGGAAAAGGCAGGGGGTGCGGAAAGTTATTCAGTCGATTAAGGAGGCGCTAAGCCGGTCGGGTCGGGAGTCCCTGGAGAATATGATATCGAAGCTGACGGTCGGGTTGAGAGCGTATGAGAAGGAAGAAAGGAAACGGGTGGCGGCGACGCAGCTGCACCTCACGGAGGAAGTTGAACGGATGCGACATCTAGTCATGAGGGGGCCATCGGATGACAAGGCAAAGGCGCTGCTGCTGACCAGAGAAGAGCAGCTGGAGGCCTATCGCGAGAATGAGCCAGAGAGGTTGGAGGTTTTTGTGGGCCTGACAGCAGAACTGCAAGGGGAGATCCCATCTCCCTACCTGTCGGCCAAGGTCAAGATGAGGAAAGAACGTACCTTGATAGAGGAGGTGCGGTATAAGGGGGAACTCTGTAGAGGATCACAAGCGGTACTTAAGGCAGCGTCGGCACACTTCGCAGAAGCCTTCATGGAGGCACCAGCGGGACCGCAAATGACGCGCGATGATTTCAAGGTGGACCGGGTGTTGCCGGCGGAGGCGGTGTTAAGGCTTGGGGCCCCGTGGTCGGAGTAGGAGGTTAAAGCAGTGCTCGCTGGGTTGCCGAAGGGTAAATCGCTGGGACAAGATGGTCTCCCTGCAGAACTCTTCAAGACCCACTGGGACTAGTTGGGGGATTGTTTCATGAAGTTTGTCAGAGGCTTTGAATCAACGGGAAGGCTGCCGGAATCGTTGACGACGGTAGTGACGGTTTTGCTCACAAGAAGGGAGAAAGACCTGCTGTCAAACTACAGGCCGATCACGCTCCTCACAACGGCGTACAAGGTCCCGGCGAAGGTGTTGGCGAACAGAGTGAAGCAGGAGCTACATCATATAATTTCGAAAGAGGAACATGGTTTCATACCGGGTCGCAGCCTGGCGGATGCGGTTGCGGTGGTGGCTGATGCGATAGAGGCAGCCGACAATGACGGAGATGATTGGTACCTTCTGGTGGTTGATTTTCAGAAGGCATACGACACGGTGTCGAGACCTTTCCTCTTCAAAACCTTGGAGAAGCTCGGGTTGCCGGCGCTGTTTGTTTAGTGGGCGGAAGGCCTGCACACGGGGGCCGGGACGAGAATTGCAATCAATGGCTGGTTAGGTGAACGGGTGGAGATGCAGAGGGGAGTAAGGCAAGGATGCCCTCTTGCGCCTTACCTTTTTCTCTGCGCCCTGGAGCCGCGCTGCGCAGAGATCAAGAGGCGGGATCTGGGATTCAGGGCGGCGGGCGGTGAAGCGTTGTCATACGTGGGGTACGCGGACGATACTTCGCTGATCCTCCATGGCGAGGCGCAGCTGCACTCAGCGGCGGAAGCTCTGAACAGGTTCGGGGAGCTGTCGGGCCTGCGTATCAATAGAGTCAAGTCGATAGTTATGCCGATGGGGAGGAATAAGGGCAGAGCGTCGCAGCCAGCCGTTACTTTCAAGTGGGCGGAGACCGGAGTCCCGGAGCGGCTGCTCGGTGTTTGGGTGACGCCAGACGGAGACCCTGCGCCCTCCTGGGAGAAGGCATGAGAGAGGGGAAGGAAGGAGTTGGCGAAGTGGGAGAGTCAACACCCGTTGACGACAGCGAGAGTTACAGTCGTCAATAACTACATCATGCCGATCTTACTCTTTCAGGCGCAGATATACCTGCCGCCAGAGGAGATATGGGGGAAAATTCGCAAAACCTGTGACAACTACATCTCAAAAGGGGAGGCAACGGCGGAAAAGATTTTTGTCCTCTAGAGTGGGGAGCTGGCCCGACTACCAAAGAAAGAAGGGGGGCTGGGGCTAATCGACCCAAAGGAGCGGCTAGACAGCTTGGCAATTCGCCAGGTGGGCAAATTTCTGACTGAGCAGGATGTCTCAAAGCGATGGTTGACGAAGAGGGCAGCGGCGCTGCTACAGGGGGTGGCGACTTTCTTCGCCCACAAGTCAGTTGGCAGGCACTGGGACAAAGGAAGCCGGAGATGGAAGGCGATTGCAAAGGTGTTCTGAGATTCCCCTTTTGCAGACCTCCCGGAGCCGTCGAATGCCTGGGAAGTGGAGAAGGAGCAGCTCTGTTTTAACAGGCGCATCATGTTCCGAGGAGAAAGCCCCTTCGGGAACCGGCAGGGGGCGGTTGGGATCAGGACAGTAAAGATCGGGGACCTGCTCATCACCAGGGGGGACGGGGGCAAAGGCATCAAGGAGGTTAGGGCTTTGACAGAAGAATTCGGGAGTGTGGCGACTGCAAGATGGGCCAAGAAAGCTTATGAAGCAATCCCAGCTGGGTGGAAGCTCATGGTAGAGGCGCCAAGGTCAGCGGAGGCAGTGGTGGCAGCGGCAAGGGTAATACGTACGGTGCTGACGCGCACGCAAGAGTTCCTTTACTGGACGGTGCGGGGAGTTAAAGATGGGGAGGTGGCGACGGACCACTTGGACTGCTCAGACGGCGTTTAACTGGTCGCGCCGCTTCGACCCTACGCAGTCGAATTTCCAGTTCGGAGTGTGGTGCCGGTGGCAGTCAAGGGAGGAAGTGTACTCGGTGCCATGGGCGAGCCGAGGGCCAAGCTATGTCAGACCTCGCTGGTGGATGAAAACTTGAGACCGGCTGCACCTAAGGAGATTAGGAGGGCGCTGGCGAGACCAACGACGGCATCGAGGCGGCGACACGAGTGGGAAGAGGAGTGGGGGAAGAAAATCGATTGGAAAGCAGTCAGGGAAAGGAGAGACTCCCTTGTAATCCCTTACAGAGCGCGAGATGTGGTGCTGAGGATGCACAGCAAGAACCTACAGGTGGGGGAAAGACTGGTTTTCCTAGGGCCCAAGGGCTGCTGCCCGCACTGTGGAGAGCCTGAAACCCTAGTTCACTGTATGCTCACCTGCCCGGTCATCCAGCCGGTGATCGGCGCGCTGCTGAGATCGCTGCATGTCACGGACCCGACGGATCAGACGAGGTCGCTAGGCGACATGCTATTTCAGGAGGGGGCCACAAAGTCCGGCTTTCCGGGAGCAACCCTGACAGCGGTGACGATGAGAAGGATCTGGTTGGCCAAGGTGGATGCGGTGTACCGGAAGGAGAGGTTCCAGAAAAGGAAGGTGGCACGGGCGGCTATCTATGACTTCATGCGCCATGCGAGGGTTTACAGGGCGGGGAAGCTGAGGAAGGCAGCAACGGGTAGCGTCAGGGGTCAGCCACGTGACCCATGGGGCGGCCTGGCAAGCGATGAGAAGGCGGTGGTTGCGAGGATCTGTGAGGCGGGGGAGCAAGCCACGTGGAAGGCGGGTTTCCTATCCATATGGCAAGACCCCAAGACTTTCCACCGACCACCGTAGACACGGTCAGGGGGGGGCACCCGAGTTCCGGCTTGGTAGTGTCGTTTCCCTCCAGAATCCAGTTACGACTGTGAATGTATTTGCATGGTTATATTGCTAACACGTTCTTAAAAAAAAAAAAAAAAGAAGCGGCATTGTGGTTGCGAGTGCCGTTGACTGCTCACTGCCCTCCGTACCTACAAGGCCGATGGAAGGTTGCAGTGCGGGGTGCAAGGATGCATGCCCGAAACTTGTTCTCCCCTTGTTTCTACTTCCTCTCCTTTTTCCTTGTCCCCTGCCTTCCCGTCCTTTTCTCTTCGTTTTTTCTCGCTTCCTCTGTTCTTCTCCCTTAGTTCCCCTGCATTATCACCTGTAATTCCTGCATTTCCACACTCACCACCCTGCTCTTCCATGCTCACACCCCCACCTTCCCTTCCTTGCAGATCAAGGCGGAGGCAGCGGCAGCAGCGGCGGCGGAGGCTCCAGCAGCAGTGGCCGGGAACATCACCACCAGCAACCACAGTACCAGCAGCAACAGCAGCAGCACCAGCACCAGCAGCAACACCAGCAGCAGCAGCAGCACTACCAGCAGCATCAGCAAGGGCATCGGGAAGAGGAATACGGGCGTGGAGGAGGAGATTATGGCAACGAGTATGAGCGGACAGGCAGAGGGGGTGGTGGTGGTGGTGGCGGGTACGGCAACCAGCAGCAGTCTTCACGAGGTGGTTACCACTACTAGCTCTGCTTCCAGAACGTGTGTTACTGGCGTACTATCTTATTGCGCTGCAATGACTTGTAGAGTAGGCTGGTATAGTTCTGTAGGTGTGTGCAGAGTGGAGCAGCCTCAACAGCAAAATGCGTCTGCCTTTATATACACTGGCCAAAGAGATGTTTTGTTGCTGCAGTGTTATGTTTTAGACCAGGCCAGGCCCTCAGGTTGGTGTCAGACGGTCATACCTGAACCCATCGAAATCTCATGGAAGTTTGTCTGAGGTTCGAAAAAGTAGCTAGTACGGTAGGTGTTTGCTTGTTTTTGTCAAATGTAAGTTTCTCAGGGATGGGATCGTTTTCTATGGTTTCATAACATCATCACTTCTCTGATGCTTTGCAGCAGCTAACCGGTAAGGTTGCTTGCAGCCAAGCTCATCCTACGGTACCCTTATCTTCCCTGCAAAGGATTAATGTGTTTAAGATGCGATGTGATGTGAGGCCAACCAAACACAGGATGCTGAGTGCAGTTGCCAACAGCTACCAAGTGTACACTACAATTCACACACAACCTATACACCACACAAGCCTACCGTATATGAATAAATGTTCACCATTTACATTTGATGTGCAGAAGCAAAACAAGAAACCTGAAAATGGAAATAAATCGATCAAAGCCTTCAGTCACGGGTCACGACGACTCGGGACGGGACCGTATACCTGCGTTACACATGTACAGCATGTGTTCACAAAGCTTGGCATGGCATGGCACCTATGTTTCCGCACGAACCGAGTACATGGGAGCGATGCACACAGGGTCCTCCCAGAGCTGCTGCTGCTGCTGAGCCTTGCCCGTCCCAGCAAAGCCATCAAGAGGCGGCGGCTGTTGCTGCTGCTGCTGCTTTTGCTCGTGAGCCTCAACCCCACCAGCACTGATAGCTGAGTAGTCAACGTCACCACTAATTGCAGAATCACCACCATCACCACTACTAGCATCGCCACCTAAAGTTTCACGACCATCAGAAAGAGGAGACTCGGAAAAGGTAGAGGAGGCAACACTCTGGAAGCGCCCATCCACTGACTGCCCTGCTGGTGCATCAGCTACCCCTTCAGCTGCCCCTTCACCTGCCCCTTGCCTTACACAATCCACATGCCCCTCCTGTTCCATCTGATTCTCCTGCCCTGCGTGTCCTACTTGCTCACTGCACATCTGCCCATTGTCACCCCGCTCTCCTCCCTCCACACCATCCCCCTCCCCTCCCCTCTCGTCCACAAAGCTCCCCTCACTGCCCGTTTTCCCCAGCGGTTCCGTCTCACTCCCCTCCTCCCCATCACCGTCGGCGTGAGTAACCACTAGCACCCGCGCACCCCCTCCCCCTCCCGCACCTCCCCTCCGCCTGCGCCCCAGCTTGCCTGCTAGGTCCCCCAGCAGCAGCGCCTTCTCCTGCTGCTCCGCCTGAGCCACCATGGCCCGGTGCTGGGCGAAGCTCGGCAGAATGGATACCATCACCTTGGGAGCTCCGCCTCCCATGCCCATCGCACCTCCTGCCGCGCCTGCTGTTCCGCCTGCCCCGCCTGCCCCGCCTGCTGCGCCTGGCGCTCCTCCCGCCACTGCCGCTGCTGCTGATGCCCAGTCTTGTGGCGAGCCCCACCGGCTTCCGCCGCCGCTGCTCCCCCTGCTCCCCCCTCCCCCTGCTCCGCCCGCACCTCTGCTCCCTCTGCCCGGCCCCTCCGAGCCCTCCCCAGCGTCCGCCCCGCTAACAGCACCACTGCAACAGTCACATCCGCTGCAGCTCCCACGGCGGCCACTGCCGCCGGCCCTACCAGCACCAGAAGCGCCACCACGAGCACCACAGCACACGGCGCACTGTGGCGCAACCACCAACCCTCCCCCATTGCCCACTGTCTCCCCGCCAGTCTCCACATTCCCCGCATTCATCCCGCCCTGGTTCCTGCTGCTGCTGCTGCTGTGCACGGGCGTGGGCTCGCGAGAGGCGCCCCATCCCCCACCCCCCATCATCTCCCCGTCCCCCTCAAGCGCGCCCACGCGGTCCTTGAAACTACCGCCATAGCTTCTCCGCACGTCCCGCTGCTGCTGCCGCTGCTGGCTATGCTGGCTCGCGCTGGGATTGCTTCCTAGCGTGAGCGATCGAGTGAAGGACCTTTCTCTGACCACTACCACGCCGCCAGGTGGCGGCACGTCAGGGCTCGCGGCTCGAGGCCCCGTCCATTGCCGAGCCGCCCTACGCTCCCCGGACGCGGCGGTAGCGCCGGCCGCGGCGGCAGGACCAGAGGGCGCAACAGAAGCGCTGCCGGCGGGGGGACTTATCCCCGAAGCAGAACCATTGCCGAAGCCCGCGGAAGCGTTCGCGGAGGAAGGCGAGAGGCCCGCGGAACGCGCATGGTAGGGGGAAGCGGAGGGGGAAGAGGCGGAGTTGTTGCGCCTGTTGGCGACGGCGGTGGGGGAGATTAGCGCGAGCTCCATAGTGCGCCGCCGCGAGCTGTACGTCCTTAGCGGGGACGCGCATAGCGGCGGCAAAGCCGCCGTGAAATGCGCGTACTGCGCGTCCGACGGGCTGGTGGCCGTTGCCGCGGATCTAGGACCACTGCCGCCGCCGCCGGCGGCGTCGCCGTTACAGTCAGATTCCGCGTCGCGGCCGGAGAGCGCTTTCAGGCTCCTGCTGTTGGTGATCCTTCTAAAGCGGACGCGCGTTTTCCTTTCTCCGCCTAACGACTCGTTATCGCCGTCTATACTGAACTCGCCGTCGTCTACGCTCTGCACGTCCGACTCGCACACGCTCTCGCCATAGCTGCCGCTTCGCGGATAGTCCGTCAACTCGTCTCCATTATCTGTCTTCTCTTTCCAGCTCAAGCTCCGCCGCCGCCGTTGCTGCTGCTCCCGCTCCTCCCGCTCATCCTGCTCCACCTGCTCCCCCTGCTGCTGGTGCTGCTGCTGCTGCTGCTTCTCTGCGGTCCTGAAATACGGCGGAAGCCACCTACCCGAGCCGCTTCCGCCTCCCCCGCCTCTCCCGACACTTTCACCTCCATCTTCCGACCGCAGATCCTCGAACGAGTCGAAAATACCTTCCTCCAGAATCCCGACGCTTGCGGCGTACGCCTCGCCCGCGAAGGAATCCAGCGAGTCGCGCATGTCGCTGCGGGGCCGCAGCCGCGAGTAGTCCAACGTCTGGCTTCGCTCCAACACGTCGCCTCCTCCTGCGACGCCGTCGCCCGAGTCGCCGTTGAGTCGCCTCTCCGCCGCGCGACAGCGAAGCAGCGCTCGGCGCTGCGATGCTCCGACGTGGAGGACACGTCGGCTGCTCCGACCCTGCCTGCGCGGCGTCGACGCGGCAGACGAATCACCGGAGCCAGCTTGCTCCCGCGCCGGTGACTCCACACCGGTGGTCCCCACCGCCGCCGTCGCCGGCGCAAATGCCCACGCGGAGGAGGGGTTCGCGTGCGCACTTTCCCCCGCGTGGCAACTACGGGACTTTTCGTCACGTTCACAAGATACATTTAACGCCAGACCCGGCTTCGCATCCTCGTTCCTAGCAGTTTCGACATCACGCAGCTGCTGCTGCGGCTGCTGCTGCTGCTGCTGGGGTTCCTTTTCATCGGCTTCAGCGATACCGTTTGAAACCGCCGGAACAGTTGCTGCGTCAGCCGCGTTTTGTCCGGCCGGAACAGTCGGCGGAACTGCCGATGAGTGGACCTCCGCTAGTTGCGCGTGGCTTCCGCCGATGCTACCACCAGATCCCAACTCCCGCGCGCTGGAACTTCCAGCTAAGTCGTCGCGGCTCTGCACACTTGCGCTGCTGCTGCTACCTCGGGCTCTCGTGCTGCGTCTAAGCATGTCCGCAAACGGGTTGTCCACGTCCTCGTCGTCTTCTCCGCCGCCCGACGGCCCGTTTGGCGTTTTCTGCGAGGTTTTCGCCGCGTGCGCGATCATCCGTAGCTTGCGAGCGCGAGATTTCGTCACGCGGCTCGCCGCCAACGCCGCCGCATGCGCTGAGCCAAGGGGCCCTGTTGGTTCCGCAGACCCGCTCCCTCCAGCCGCAGCCGGTGCCGCTGCCGCGCCGGCTTCCATCGGTGAAGCGACTGAGATATGCGACGACGGTGGTCTAGGACATACGAGGAAAGGAGGAGATGGCACTACTACATTGCTGGGGAACGCTGAAGATGCGCCATCGATGGCCGCTCTTCCCATACCGTGAATGGTGCGGGCTACAGCTAGGGAGCTGTCTGCAGTTTACTGAGAAAACGACGGCGACTGACAAAACTGAAAAAAAAAAAAACACACACACACACACAAGAAAAAAGCTTGCTGGCAGACTTGGCCTGGCAACGACGGAGGCGAGCTAAGCGGCAGGGAGGGCCTGACTGAGCTATCAACAAAACACGCGGTGTGGTAGTTGCGGGAACAGAGCAACACAGGTGCAACCGTTGCGCTGGCAGATAATCTAATGGGCCTACTCATGCTATGGCCGATGTGAGCATGAGCTGCTTTCTGGCCTGGATCGACCGAACGTTAGGCGTTATTTCATGAGCAGAAAGTGAAAGGGGAGGCGGTGGGAGAGGAGAGCAAGGAGGGAATGCGACAACAGGTTTCGTGAGGGTGTGGGAGCATGCTTGGGTGAAGCTGGACGGGAAGGTAGGCATTTACTTTCACGTTTACCCAACACTGTCCAGACCTGAAAGCAACTGTACACGGGAGTTCGACCATTGGACGGCCTTATTTACCAGAAACAAGTCCATCGCCGCGAGCTTCGTCGCGATTTCGGGGGATTTTTCGAATGTTTTTTTCTTCCGAATGTTTCTTTGATGAGGCCAGCTCTTTCAAGACTTTGTCACTGAAAATGTGGTAACCCTTGCTCATCCATGTGGAGTACAGTGCACTCTGGTCCCAATTGCCTATTCGGAGAAATGTGTGCGGCTTTGTTTTCTCCTTTTCTTGTGTATACACATGATGCCCAACATTTTCCCTGTGAGACTCATTGATTTTCGTACGTTCGAACACGGGCAACGGCCCATTGTGTACAAGCCTTTTCCTTTATCATAGCCATGGATCACTCAACTTATCACGCTCCCATTCGTTCGTTCTTTCGACATTTTGAGAGTGTTACCACTCGAGGCACATATTTACGTAAAGTCCCATATTTTGCCGTGGCAATGGTTGGCGAATATGTGAAATACTTCACTTCACTCAATTTGATAAGGTGAAGATGGGGTGCCTGTAACGCACTTCGAATGTATTTCTGAATGAAACCACAACAGGAAGCGGAATCTACACTCCAACATCGCCTGAAACAGAGTTGAAGATGAACACTGTATTGTCATGGGTTTTGACTGGGGTGGTACACTCAGTACCATAACCATGAAAACTAGTATTGTACCTCTTTAAAAAACAGCTTCACCGATTTCTGAACTAGCTGTTGGGGTGAGATGAGATGGGACACGCTTTTCTGGCACAGAACTGGATGGCTGGTGCACAGCACACACCATCAATCGTCAAGCAACCCCCATACTTGCAAAGCTGCTGGAAGATATGTTGACTGACTGTCGGTAAATCGATGAAGACAAGCGGGACCAGAGCTTTTGAACACCAGCGAGCGACACCGACGACCTTTTGAAGCGGATTGCGAAACGACAAACAGCTCAGCACGTACTTCTGTTCATATACAGTCCAGAACTTTCATTTGTTGCAAGTGATGTCGCGCAGCAGAGCTGGAAACCACCAATAATGTACACCTAGCCCGCGCTATCTTCACCGCGTGAAAGTGGGTAGCATGAATTTGGATTATCTGGCCATGGTGAAGATAAACGCTCAAAATTTGGGTCGTTATTTTCACCACCAAATATCTGTCCAACATGGAAAGTTCTGACAGTACCCTGCAAAAGAAACACTTTGCTCTTTATCGCATAGCTGAATTTCGAGTGTCAGGTAAGAGGAAACATCGACGGTGGCGATTGGCCGAGAAAATCCCAATAAAAAAGTCGTGATGTGTGTCTCGCCAGTGAGCACATCCCCTTCACGGCGCCAGCCAAAATATCAAAGAAAGGGCCCGCGATTTCTCCAACTTGGTTCGCTCAACTGTGTACAGTGATTTCTGGCCGCACAACAAGTTACGCCCAGCAAGCCGACAAACGTGATGAAAATACCACCGGTGAATTTACCGCGGACCAGGTATACATGTTTATACAGCTAATGCCCGTTAGAGCCCCTCCCGGTTGCCTTGTGAAGGGGGTCTGTATGCTAAACTCACATTTCGTGAGGGGTTCGTACGTTTCGTCAGGCTTTATGCGCGCTTCTAAAGTGAACATGGTAACCCCCCGATTTGTCTGTTTCGCAACAGTAATCGTTGGCACTCCTTGTCATTAATGTACGTTACTGGTTACTCAACGAATGTAAGAACAATGAACCATGCAGCCTCATCAAATGTTCAACTTAGATTGAAACATCCAACCCACAAAACATAACCAATCAGCATCTCCCTCATGGCCCCCCAGCTCCAATCTCCACAAATATCGAAACACACACAAATGTGCACAGCAAGATGCCTTCGACGCCTTGCAGGGTGGGCTCAATCACCACTCACTGGCGCATCCATTCCGCCGCGTCAACATATCCGCCCATCACGGCGCCAACACCGGCGTCCAGCAGCTGCTGACGGCGGGACGGCTGGGTCATCAAGCCAGGCAGCACTCGGCCGCGCGGACGCTGGGTGTCGGGCTTCGGTGTTGCGCCCGCGGTGCGCTCGGCCGGAGGGGCCACGTTGAGATTAAAGGCCGGGCTTGCCCACTCCATCCGCGCAATAATAATCGGGTTGCGGATGTCGAATAGATGGTAGAGGTCGCGCGGCGTGATGCGGGTGGCGCGAGCATAGCCGATGAGCATCTCGCAAGCCGCCCGGGCGGTGCGCCGCGCCTCACGGCCTACGGGGCCGGCATCGTCCTATACGGCCTGCATGGTGGTCGGCGCCTCCCAAAGCTCCACCACCAGGCCCGCTTCCGGCTCCTGAGTCGTCTGTTTCGCCGCGTGCTCGACGTACGTCGGCTCACCGTTGTCGATGGCGACGTACTCGGTCGCGGTCATCGCGCCATGCCCGAGCCCGAGCCCACTAATGAGCGTGCCGACGTCGTCTATGTCGTCATCGAGCTTGATATCGGGATAGACGGGCAGGGTGGGCTCGTCGTCGTGAACGTGGGTCAACTTTATGGACCACGACAGCGGCAGACATCCCGTGCGCCACCAGCACCGCTGGATGGTGCGCGCACCGATGCTCGTCGACGCGTCCGACAGCCACCCCAAAACGTTGCGCAGGTTCGGGCGGAACCGCGCGACAGCGCTTGTCGCGCCGTCCGTGCTCCACAAAGCCGTGAAGGCCCGCAACCAGTGCTGGCGGTAGCGGGCCTTGGCGGTGGCAATGATGCCCCGGTCAAGGGGCTGGGTGAAGGCAGTGGTGTCCGGCGGCAGGAAGACGAGACGGACGTTGCTCATGCAAGTCGTCCGCATGCCGCAAATGATCTCGCTGCACGCATGCTCGTTCCTGAGCATGTGCGAGCTCGCGTTGTCGAGTAGAACGACGATGTGGCGTCCCTCCGCATACATGGCAGCATTGAGCTGGGAGATGAAGTGGGTGAACAACTGTAGGCGGGGAAGGGAGGGAAGGTGACAGGGCGGAAGCAGCAAGGTTATCAACCGCGCATTTAAGAAAATGAAACAACGGTGCACATTCAAACACAAATTATAACCTCACCGGTGCCGTCATCCACCCTTTGGCGTTGTGACGCCAGTAGCAGAGGGCCTCGGGATCATAGTCCGGGCGGAAGTCGTGCGGGCGCTTCGCCTTACTGATGACCAGCGGGCGGAACGCGTGGCTCCCGTCCGCATTGACGAGGAACGCCACGGTCAGGCGCTCCTTCGACACCTTGCGCCTTGGAATGTGGCCATTGCTGTACGTCCGCCGCGGGAGCACGAACAACCAGAGGGTGGTTTCGTCCAGGTTGAACGTGTCGCGCGGACTGGCCGAGAGGTGCATAAGCAGTTGCGGGAGCTTCTCCCGGGCGTTGCGCACTGCGGCCATGTTCGCGCTGGCCGCCTCGCGGGCTGTTGCACGGCACCTCGCCCCATGGCGCCGCAACGCACGGCGCACCCAGCCGATGGAGCAGCGAAATGTGGGCGGAATGCCCATGTTCCGCGCCATGGTCGCGACATGGTCGCGGATGGTTTGCAGCATTAGAGGCACGCCAGCGGGCCCGGCGTTTGCGATCCACCGCGCTATGGCCTACTCCAACTCAGGCCACGCGCCTCCCCGCCGACGGACTTGGTTGTCGCCCGTTGCCACGAGAGCCCAGTGCTCGGCGCTTTTCAAAATGCGCCCGACAGTGGAGCGGTCCGGGCGAAGGCCGTACTAGGAATAGCACCACCTCGCCATGTCAACGTGACGCAGGCGAGGGTACTCCACGTGATGCGCGCATATCGCGCGCTTAATGTGAAGCGGGACCTGCTCACGGCGGTGGAAACGAGGCATGGTGACGGACGGGCGGGTGTGTGATAATGATGCGTAAGTGAATTCGTTGGGCTTATTTAAACTTAGGATGGCGTGCGTGCTGGGGCACTTTTGGGGCTTGTTCTGTGTGACTTTTGATGCATCTGTCTTGAAGAGCCGTACGTTTGGTTTGGTAACCATATGATTGGATGTATGACGTGGTGTCCCCGACCAATGCCTGGGTGATAGTGCGTTTGTACCCCACAAGTGCATACTACACGTGGCGGTATGTACATGCCCAAATGTCTGTTACATGCTCCATGAACCTCGCTTAGGTGGCATGGCAGTTGGGCGAATGCATTCACGAAACCACTCAGGTTTCGTCCTTACATTTTGCCCGTCTTACTTCTAGCCTAGAAACAAGGCAAACCATGGTCGGCCTGCCTTGTTCGGGACTGCACGTGCGTAGGGTTCCGCAGCGCGTGTACTGTAGCCAGCCATCCAGGTGCCTGTACCGTGGGAGCAACAAGCAGGGGTTGCAAGCTCGGGTGCAGCGTTTCCATCAGGTGCAAGGCAAATTCGAGTGCACTGGTTGGGCATCAATTGTACTCTCACCGTTAGGGTGTCTGCGGTGTCAAGAATAGAACTAGGAATGAATGATTGAACTATGCAAGAGGTGACTACAAGCAGGGGAAACCTAACCCTAAAGTGTTGTACTCACTAAGGAGTGACCCTACTGTAGCCTAGAGATACAATTGTAATCTGACACACCCCCACAGGCAAAGTAGGGGACAGCAAACACAACAAGCAGTCACAAGACTTGTCTGCAGAAGAGAACACAGCTCAGGGTGGATCACCAAGTCACCACGCATTGTGAGCTTAAGCAAGTGGCCATAAGGCCAGTTCACATGCAGAGGTATATAATAGCAAGGCAGTACACTGATTACAACCTAGAAAGAGAAAACACGCAGGTATAAAGATATATAGCAGTGTACAACAAGAGCAAGTCAAGCAACTAACAGGTGAGGCAGAGTGGGCACAAGCCCAAGAGCAGTGCAGAAACAGTGATGATCACCAGACCCAAGGGCCTTGGTGAAGACATCAGCAGTGTTGGCCCGAGAGGCCACGTAAGCAAGACACAGCTGACCACGCTGCTGCAGCTCACGCGCAAGGAAGTAGCGAAGAGCAATGTGCTTCGTTTCGTGCTCCAGTCTCTGCTCGCGACACAAGGCAAGCATTGCCTTGTTGTTGACGTACAGAACTGGAGGAGAACAAGGCCTCTCCCCCAAGTCGGTCAGCAGGTAGGTCAGCCAGCGTAGCTCCTATGCAGCCATGGCCACAGCATAGATCTCGGCCTCACAGCTGGAACCAAGCACAGAAGAAGAACAAGTGGACCTCCACGAGACAGAACCAGAGCCAAGACTAAAGGTGTAACCCTGTGACGAACGCCGAGTCGTCAGGTCATCGGCCCAAGAAGCGTCAGAGTGTCATGTGAGGACCACCGAACCCCGTCCTCCAAGCATGAGCCACATGCCCGATGTGCTCCACAAGTAACGCAGTACCCTCTTCGCAGCATCAAAGTGCACCTTTCGGTGTCTACCAGGTGCTACGTAGCGAGCCAGGAGGCTGAGAGGGTACGCGAGGTCAGGTCGTGTGCACATCATCAGGTACATGAGGCAACCCACAAGCTCTGGGTACGGACCACTCGGCTCTACGGACTCGTCCGAAGGTGGAGCAGAGAGCGAGTGGCCGGTAGACAGAGGAGTCGGCTGTGGCGAGGACCACGTGAAGCGGAAGCGCTGAAGGACCTGCTGCACCATGTGTGACTGAGTCAGGGTGATGGTGCGCTGTGCTCTGTCCCGGGTGATCTGCAAGCCAAGATCGCTCCGCAGCTCACCCAGGTCAGTGCAGGTGTGTCTCTCCTTCAGCTCCGCCTTCACTAGGGCCAGTGCCTCAGTATCAGCAGTAACAAAAACTAAGTCGTCGACGTACAAGATGATGTAGAACGACGGCAGAGAAGTGTCGGTGCGTAGAAACAACGATGGGTCAGAAGTCGAAGGAGCAAACCCAAGAGCCGCAAGTGTCGTCCTCAGTGTGTCGTGCCACTCGCGGGGCGCCTGACGCAAGCCGTACACTGGTCGCCGTAGGCTCCACTGGGTACCCTCAGGAAACGACCCAGTGAAGCCCTGTGGACGGCGCAACCAGATGGCCTTGTGAAGGCTAACCTGCAAGAAAGCTGTTGAGAAGTCAAGGGAGTGCAGCTTGTAGTCACGCTGAGCTGCAACGAGTAGCAATACCCGAAGAGTGTTCATCTTCGGGGTGGGGGAGAAGGTCTGAAAGAAGTCGACCCCCTCACGCTGTCTGAAGCCTTGAGCAACGTAACGTGCCTTGAAGGCAGGCGGAGAACTCGGCGGCCGCTTCACCCTGAAAATCCACATGCCACTGACGATGTTCGCCCCAGGTGGGGGAACCTCGTTGACGTAGGTGCCTGTGGATTTCCAGGAAGCCATCTCTGCGTCCATGGCTGTCTGCCACTGAGAGGAGTACTCACCCAAAATCGCCTCCCTGTAGGAGCGCGGGGTGGGGATGTCAAGTGCATCCTGGTCTCCCTCAGGGGCAAGCAGCATGGTCGCGTGATGGGGTGAAGCCGTATCAAGGCACACCAGCTCATCCTTTCTGTCCTCAAGAACGTCACAGCCAAGGGCAGTACAGCCAAGAGCAGTCTCACCCCCGACGGACGGAGGACAGGCAGGGACAGGGTCAGAGACAAGACTCGCAAGGTAGTCTAGGCGGTACACAGCAGCAAAGTCAACGAGCTCAGCTACGAGGGCAGACGCAGCAGGAGACGAGAACGTAGGGTCCGTCACAACCGTAGCAAGAAGGCGAGTAACTGTCGGACTGGACGCACGAGCAAGGTCAGACGGAGGGTCAGCAACGTCAGGCAAAGAGGACGCAGGAGGTTACGGTAGGACGACACACTGAGGAACAGAGGAAGGACGGAGTGTCATATCGTGAGTGCCGGGGACACCCGGACGACGAACACGAGGAACACGAGCACGGACAGCACCTCTAGGCTCAGGCTCAAGGTCAAAGCTAGACTCAGGCTCTCGACGCTCAGGGGTGGACGCACGAGTCTCAGGCTCTCAACGCTCAGTTACGGACTGTGACAGCTGTCACGATTCTAATCTGTGCGTAGAGCAATAGATATATCATCGTGACCAATAGGAAATGTAGAACAGTACAGTAGGGAGGATGACTAGCAAAGCGGGGTGGTTGAAGCGACACAACCGAAACATTAGAGAGTTGGCGGGCGAGAAGGGATCCGTTAGCACAACGGTAACCCAACGCAGATACTTAAGAAATAGGCAGGCAGGGGAAAGGTTGCTTGCGTGATTGTTTTCATACTCATGCTTACTATTCCGTCTACCCCCAACGAACTGAGCACGTGAAACCAAAGCCGCAAGCAATACAGACCCCAACATTCTGTTTTCCAGTCAGCCGAGCTAGGGTTTCCAGGGTTAGATACAGGCTGTGTTGCAGGACTTTTAACAATCACGCAAGAATCTCGATGCATTGTCGAGAGTTCTTAAGAACGAGACTGTGGAACGATGCTGAGGAGTTGAAGCCAACGGAGGGGAGACGTGTAGAAGAGATAGCCGCGCGGGGAGACGTGAGAGCGGCACGTGGCGAAACGGATTCACCTAAGTACCGGAATCCACACCAACGAGCGCGTGTGGTGGGAGATAGCATGGAACGAGCGCGAACGGTCGTCTCGGACCTGGGAGATACTCCTCTCGATGCCCGCTGGACAGAGAAAATACGTGAACGCTGGAAGAACCAAGAAGCAGCGACCCCGCAAACCGGAATGCCGGGGATGTCTCCAAGGAAGGAACGGATTGAGACACGCTGGAGGCCGACGGAAAGCCTCGTACAAGTGCCCGGGCAAAGGAGAGCCTTGATACATAGCGGCGTTGCGGGCGCTCCAGGCGATTCACAGGAAGGACCCAGCACTGGCGGATGACGATGGAAGGCGACTAACTTGCCGAAGGTGGAGGTGGCCGAGCGGTATACGGGTATTCCTGGTGTGGGGCCCAGCCTGAAGAATTATCTGATGCAGCTCGAGACCGTCCAATATTGCTAGGAGCTTGACGGATATGATCCGGCGGAGTTCTTCCGGAAGATGGTGGGGACGTTGGCAGGCGAGGCCGAGACCTTCTACTGCCTGACCCGCGACGACGTGTTGGACGAGCGGGCGGAGGGCGAGATAGCCAATCCTACGGCCCGCTTCCTGCAGCTGTTACAGAAGGAGTTCGCGGGGCAGACCAAGGCGCGAGTTGAAGAGTTCCGGGACTTCCGCCGTAAGAAGGAAGAATCCATACTAGCGTACTACTGCAGGCTCCGGGAACTGGCCGAGGTTCTGGAAAGCACGGACGAACGCCTGCTTGTGAGGAAGTTTGTACGAGGGCTAGACGAAGAACTGAAGGGATTAGCGCGGAGCACCGTCTACAGCATCGGCGCCGATGTTACTCTCAAGGAAGTTTATCTGCTGACGAAGAAAACCGAACAGGCGCAAAGACTGCTGGATCTAGAAGACTCGGACGGAAGGAGCCAGGCCAAGACGAGTTGGGCAGCGGCTGCGGTACCCGAACCTTGTCAGAATCCCAACCACAAGACCATTGGGATAAAAAGGCTTGTTTCAGTAG